GAGCACTTAACCCCTGCACCACCAGGGCTCCTCTTTTTAGATAACGAGATCTTTCAAATAAGAACGTCAACAGTCTGCTCCAAAGGCTGCCTGTTTTTATGCTGAAGACATGTGAGATGGGAAGTGCCCTTAAGTCATTCTCCTGCTGCCTCTTCTGTCAGGCAACTGGATTTTTTTTTTTTCCTCCCAACAGTACTTTCTCTTTTAGTAAAAGGGGGAGACTGTGGTGAGTAAGGAAAAGGCCTGAGCTAGAAGGGACTTGGGGTTGAGTGGAGGGCTGGCATACTGAGTGGGGTTTCTGGCAGTAACCCTGTGAAGGCAGTTCTATTTCGAATTCAGTGACAAAGAGCTCCAATTTTCCCAGGACGTGACAGCTTACAGCTCTGTCTTCTCTTGTCTCAGATATTTGAAAGCAGGGCTTGTCCAACCAGTAGATTAGAAAAGGATATGGGAACTTGTGCCCCATACTTCAAAACAGGAAAAGAAAAAAAAAAAAAATAAGGCCTTGTTGTGAAGAGAAGACACAAAACCTGTTTGGTAAGTTGTCATTTCAATGAAAACATGAACCTTTCACAGGTGAGTATTCCCCCTGAACACCCCTCCCCTTTCTCCTTCCATCTTGCAGCCCTGGGGATCACAGGCAGAGGCCTAGAAGAAAAACACAGAAGAAGAAGACTGTTGCTCATTCAGAGAACACTATTATTTGATGACAAAGTTTCAGAACCCAAGGGAGTAGTTTAGGGAGAAAATGTTTATTAAACTTGCCATGCCACGGCGATAAAATACACTCAAAGGGAAATGAGATCTTCATTATACACATCTCCATTAGGAAAATATCAGCACAGCAGTTACGTGTGTTTTGATTAGAGCAAGCTGTTTTCATCTTATTTCTCTCTCTTGATTCCTCCTTAATAAACATAAAACAACTGATTTGTTGGAACACTTGTATTAAAAACACAAAAAAACCCCATCACTTCTGAAAGGTCAGCATCCTCATAGCTGAAGCTGTGGGAATTTAATAGAATACATTCCTGATTTTTTTTTTTTTTTCAAGTAAAAAAAAAAGTCAATCCTAAAAGGGTTACATGAATCGGAATCAACTCGACGGCACTTTGAACAACAAAGGGTTACATAAGATCTCATTTATCAACTCTACTATGTCCTTCATAAAAGCTTGTTTCAAATGGGCATCTTACACTGGGTTGGGATTTTGAGTGAAGAATCTTAGATATCAAAAGTCAGCTGGTGCAGTCAAAGCAGGGGAAAAGAGCACTGTAGCTCAAGTACTGAACTTTGTGCCCCATCTAGACTCTGGGAGAAATCAGTTCTTTTCACGTTGTGTAACCAAGTTAGACGTTTTCTCCTCCTTTTAGAATTAATCCTGAGATCTGGCACATGAAACACAATCAATCAGGGAGAGAGCTTCTAGTGAATACCCTATCTGGGTCTTTTTTTCCCCAAGGAACCTTGTAGGAGATTATGAGCTAGGAGGGTTAGGGAGAAGGCAGGGGGAGGCAAAGGTCAAAATTTCTACCAATTTTATTAGTATAAATTAGCACAATAGAAACCAACTAGCAGCAAGAGAATAAGGAGGAGGAGAGAAATGGAATACTGGGAATGGCAAAGTATTCTGGTGTACTAACTGAAAATTTGTTTGAACTGCAAGGTTGGCGGTTCAAGCTCGCCACCTCTCCATGGAAACCCTATACAGGGTCACTACGGATCAGAATTGACTCGATGGCACTTAACAATAACAAGGTGCTCTGGTAGTGTATTGGTTATGAATTGGGCTGCTAATCCCAAGGTCAGCAGTTTGGAACTACCAGTGGTTTCAAGGGAGAAAGATGAAGCTTTCTGCTTCTATAAAGATTTACAGCCTTGGAAACCCAATGCAGGGTTGCTATGAGTCAGAACTGATTCCATGGCACACAGCCACCACTATGGAATCACCACAATAGGAGAAGCACTTGACTGCTAACTGCAAGGTTGATGGTTCAAACCCACCAGATGCTCCTTGGAAACCCTATACAGAGTTTCTATGAGTTGGAATTGACTTGACAGCATTTAACAACAACAAAGGTGACTCCAGTTGGTCATTTGTACACTTTCCTCAAAGCAGTGGAGACTATTTTCTGATTCTCAGTATTACAAGAGTTTCCAAAATATGGAGACAACTCACAAACATTGTTTGAAGAGAATAAGAAAAACAAAAACTTAAAAAATATTTGGACACTTAAGTTTTCCTTTTCATTATAATTTTACTTTGAAATATGTTCTCTAAAATTAATATGATCCTTTAAGAATGTCATATCATATAGTTCGGGCAAGGAAACGAATATGTCTCAACAAATGGATTTTTGTTAATAAATACATATACAGGTTAGTTCAGTAGCATCTACAATTAGAACCTCATACAGAACATATGGCTTTCATTACTAGAATTCTGGGCACAAGACATGACCAGAGTAGCAGTTGGTATAACTATGAATAAATAGAAGAAGTTATAAATAAATAGAAGAAAAGGGCATAACCATTTAAAAGAAAGCAAATGAGAACACAATGTATGTATAATGCAAAGGGAAAGTGGTTTATGCTTAAGATAAAACTCTAAATTTCTTTCAAAAATGTCCTTATGAAAACAAATATACTAATATATAGTCTAGCTCACTCTACTCATAATGAAATCATAGACTAAGATAAAAGAAATAATCCTCATACTTAAAGGATCTTTAAAAGGTTGGCCCTGTCTAGACTCTCGCTATTAAATACTATTTGTGGCATCTCATTTTGAAAAAGGAAATACAGCCTTCATAAATCCTCTAAGGAAATTCAACATAAAAAGGTGAAGCAACTTTAAAAGATGTAAAATTAAAGCACTAATTTCAATTAAGACCATAAAATAATCGGAGATTATTTTATGAGGACAAGAATTGGAGGAGATGCTAGATACTGTAGTTTTAAGGAAAAAAACATTACATTCATTTTATGTAATTTACAAGGCAAGTTGAAAGCCATGAAAATGTCCTTCACCGGCACATTAAAAAATTTGAATTTAAGTCAGACTCAACAGGAAAGAAACAGATTTTGTTACAGTGATGGCTAAGACATAATAACAAAAGGGCGTGATTTCTAAGTGTAGCCCTTCCCAAACTATTTTTAGAGGTTTAAGACTCCAGCTTTAAATAGTTTTGATAATAATGCTTGTGGCTACAACTCAGCATATAAGACATAGTCTGGGAGAAAAACAGTTCTTTTTACGCTGTGTAACCTACTTCGACGTTTTCTCCCCCCTCCCTTTATAATTAATTAATCCTGAGATCTTGCTCATAAAACACAATCAGTCAGGAAGAGATCTTTAAGAATCTTTTGTTTCCTTCTGGTGAACAGTTTACCTTGGAACATGCAAAACTAGAACTGGGTGATAAATCAGAAGAGATTAACCTTTAAAGATGTTCTTCACTTTTTCCTTTTATTATTTGGAAGCAGGGGATATTGTTTTTAATTGTGAACAGAAGAAGACATTGTTGAGGGTAAAAACGTTTTTGGGCCACTGAAATAGCATGGAGATATGTCTTTACTGGACTCTCATATTTGGAATTAATGATTTCCTGTTTCATGTATCACAATGATGAGTTGGCTGTGTCTATCAAGAAACCAAAAAGCACTTACATCCTGGTGGGTTTTAAGATGTTTGTATACATAGACATATTTGTTGTGTAGAAATGAATGTGTATGTATATATATATACACACACACACAATACATGTATATGTTAACATCTATAATATATATGTACATATATTTATATAACACACACTCATACACATATATCACAGTAACACAGATTTTGTAATCTGATGAATCTTGCTTTTTCATAATTACCACCTTTTCCAAATTCAAACCTATTCACTCAAAATTATAGCAAATCATACTCAAAAGGTTTTACTTCAATTTTCAATGAAAAATGATGCAAATGAAATAACATTTAAAAAAAACATCTAGGACTTCACCCTTCAAAAACTTACTTTGAGACGCTACAAAAATTTAATAAGCATTTCTTTTTATTTTCTTAGAAAAGGCGGGGGAAATCCCTTTCGTAGAGACTTGAATATAAGAGATCTAAACTGGCTTTCATGTCATGTACTTGGAATAAAAGGCTGGATTAGAGACTCAAGAACCCCTTTCAACTGCCCTGCAACCAAATTAAAATAACATATGGCATTTACAGATCACAATGCCCACAGGTTTTAAAGGTTATTTTCTCTGTGAGTTCTTGGAAAAAGGAAGACTATAAGATATGGGGGCCCCAGGACACTACTATTCTTTATTCTCTTAGCCCAGACTACTGAGTTCTGGCATCTCTGATCTCTAATCCTCAACATGGCACAGTAGTTGGGATGGTCAGTATTGCTCTTTAGGTATGTACATCCATTCTAGGCCAAACAGCTCCTGGATTTGCTGAATGAGACACTCTCTGTATTAATGTAAATATTTCATTTTACCCCTCCTGTTAGGTCGGGAGGGGGAAAAAGTGTATTTTAGCCATTCTGAGAGATGTGGCCTATAATCACGTCTATTGCAGCTTTGCTCATATATTCTCCATCACAAATTTTCCTTCAGGAGACCGAGCTTCCTCAGGGCCTCGCGGCGAGCTGCTTCTGTGGAGCCTCGGCCGGAGAACTGAACAGTGATGCCCTGCGGTCTGAATCCAACAGCTCTAGGGAGAGAACCTGACCTCTTCCGAACATCCTGACCACAGTCTGCCTGCTGCTGCTCATAAAAGCTCTTGATGGCATTCTGGCGTTTATTGGTAAGAGCTGGATCTGGGCGGATGGTGATAGTCTTCCCAGTAGAGACAAAGTGACTAGGCTCACTCTTCAGGACTTCGTGGATGCTTTGGAAGCCATTGGCCAACATTGGGGATTGCTCTGTCTGCACGCCTTTAGACTGCTGACTACTGGGCTGGCCTCCAACCCCTGGGCACACAGCTTCCTTGACAGGGCCAGGCTTGCTTTGGTCATGTGTCACTTGCTCAGGAGAGAAACTTCTCCTTTGCTCAAAGAGGTCATTCTTTTGTGACCGATCTTCCATTTCTCCCAAGGTGAGGAAAGAGACACCATTAATGTTGGCTAAGACCTGAGCTTTACGCTCTTGTACATTGACGGCTGCTTTGGAGATGGTCTTATTGAATTCCTTTCCTGAACTGTTGGTCACACTGATATTGCTGGGGAAACGGTGAATCTTGGGTGTAGGCTGCGTCATGTGTCTGTACCACAGGAAGTGTTCTCCTTTTCGAGGGGCTAAGGAAGTCAGTGTCCTCCATTCTCCAGGCCTGCCCTCTTTAGAGGGAGACGTGGGAGAGAGCGCTTCATTTCCTGCCAATTGCTCAGAAATTTTCTGAGCGATAACAAGTGGAGTAGGGACGGAGCGGAGTAATTTGGGGTGCTCTGCTGGATGACAGGAAGACAGCAGTTCTTTCTTGGGGTACGCTAACGTTGGGGTGACAGGGGAGGAAGGTGGCAGAGGAAGGCTTTCTGGAACTGTGGAGTCTGGTGGTGGAGAATTCTCAGCATTCTGCCTTCTGCATTCCAGGACAGGAATTTCTTCCTTTTCAATGGGTTTGGCTTCTGAAAAGGGCGGGAGAATCATGAGAATGCATCACCTTATGTAGAAGTAAATACATTACACATCCTTTCCCATGAATTTTAAAATGGGACTTAAAAACCAACTTCAACAGCACCTCCTATAATCTAAACGCCCTTTCTATTCCTGTTCTGTGAAATACTGAAAGAGAACAAGTATCTTATTCTTATCATAGTATGGCGAGTGATTATGAAAGACTTCCAAGTCAGAAATGGTCAATACCTAGGAAGCATAGCAAAAAAGCACGCTTCTAAAGAAGCTACCATCTTGAGGTGTATAATAGGAGGCAAACAGCAACTTACCTCATCAGGGGATTTTATAAAGGGGGAAACTGAGGCTGGAAAGTTTGTGTGGCACATACCAACAACTCCATCAGGTCTTTCTAAAGGAATGCTATGTATGTGTCATTTCCCTCTGTGAAACTGAAAGGATTCCTGACAGGTGGTGGTTATATGCTGTGGAGTCGATTCCGACTCATAGCAATCCTGTACAGGGTTTCCGAGGCTGTAAATCTTTACAGGAGCAGAAAGCCTCAGTTATTTCCCACGGAACAGCTGGTAGTTTCGAACTGCTGACCTTGAGGTTCGCAGCCCGATTCATAACCACTATGCTACCAGAGCTCCTTTGAGTCTTTACTGTAGCCATAACATGTTTCTATCATGGATCACAATTTTCTGTACTTATGTTTATACACCTCTCTCCCACTATGGACTCCTGATGTGGTGTTGTGAGATCAGCACTGGACTGTGAACATAAGGCCGGTAGTTCCAATCCACCAGCTGCTCCTAAGAAACCCTATATAGAGTCGCTATGAGTTGGAACTGACTCGATGGCACTTAACAACAAAACACCTCCCGCTATGGAGTCTTGTTGTGATGCTGTAGGAAAAGCAATGGACTGCTAGCCGTAGGTCAATTGTTCAAATCCAGTAGTTGTTCCTCGGAAACTGAACCAACTTGACAACACTTACCAAAAACAACTTCCACTATGGAGTTCTGGTGTGCTACTATAGGATAAGCACTGAACTGTTAACCACAAGTCAGCAGTTTAAATCCACCAGTTGCTCCTCGGAAACCCCACACAAGGTCACTATGAGTGGGAACCCAATCGAAGGCACTAAGAGCAACAACTTCTGCTGTAAAACTGTATACTGTGTCTTATTTATCTTAGCATCTCCAGATTGTCACACAATGGCTAAAAACAAAGTAGGTCCTTAAAAATACGTTGTGAAAAATCATGTTAGAGAATTGATGGATGGGAGTGGCTTATTTTCAAAAAAGTGTTTTTCCTTGGCATGACTATGATCTGACATTTTAAAATGTCGTTATTAAAGGATAAGTTGTCGTTATTAAATGCTGTCAAGTCACTTTCGACTCTTAGTGACCCTGCATGGGGCTTCCAAGGAGTAGCTTGAACTGTCAACCTTGTAGTTAGCAGCTCAGTGCTTATTGGATAACGCCTCACTAGGACTCCTTCCAGAGATCACGGAGAGTGATGGTGCATACCACTACCACACAATTATCCTAATGTCTTTGAAAACATGTATTTGGTTGGACAATCAAATTATCCGAAGAATTCTGTCAACAAAAATCAGAGAACCCCAGCAGCTTCTATACTGCCAAAGACAAGAGAATATGTTGTTGTTGAGTGCCATCGAGTTGGTCCCTATTCATAGTGACCCTGTATTGGATTTCCAAGGAGCGGCTGGGGAGCTTGAACCGCCGACCTTGTAGTTCAAACTGACTTTGCAGTCCAGCACATTAACCCACAGCACCACACCAGGACTCCATATAAATATAGACCCCTTTATATATATAGTGGCTCTTTTTCTTGTATAGTTAACAGGTCAAGTCACAGGTTTGGGGACTTGTGCTTCATTCCTCACCTGCTATGGGAGCCCCGTGTGAAGGGAGCTCAGGTTCCCCAGTTGCAGGTACCAGTTGCACCAAGTCGATGACATCTTCTGGCTCAGAGTGACTGGAAATGCTCTCTTCTAGAGATGGTGGGGAGTGGCATTGTATACCACTATCACACAGCACTTCCTCCTCAAAGTCCTCTTCCAGGGAATCAATAGTTTCTTCAAAAAATAGGATGACATCCTTTTCCTCATGTGTGAGGTGCTTTAGGCTCTCATCATCCTACAAGACAGGTTTGGGGATTGAGAATGGAAGAGTGGTTTCACGGAGGTGGAAAACACACATACACACACAAACTTACATACACCCTAGAGTAGGGATCAGCATAGAGCCCAGGACAGAATTCACAGCACTCTAATTAATTTCCCTCTTAGGGACAGCCTGCTGCTCAAGGGGTCCCACTGACAAACTTGTACCAATATGTCCCTCACCATTTTACCTGCATAAAAAGAATGCTATGAAAACGGTGTAGCTAAGCAAAGATCTTAGAACCTACTAACGCTAGAAACCTTGTGGTTCCTAGTGAGTCAATTATTTAAAAAGGAATTCTCCTTCTGCACCTATTTGGAGAAAGCTGTTTTTAATTTACCACTGAAAGCACTATCAGATATACTTGTTTTTTTCCATAATAATAACGGGGGGGTGGGGTGGGGTGGGGTGGGGGTGGGAGAGGAGAGAGGCCTTTTGGTTAAAGGTAATAGCTTGAACTCACATATTTATCGCTTCTTCCTCCAGAACCCCCACTAAACAATGAAAGGGTTTATTTTTATCTCTAAAAAGGCATAAAGTGCCTAATAGGAAAAGAAATGACAGCAATAAAATGTGGAAGTTAGTAACAGGGCAGATGGCAACTCACTTGAAAGACCCAAGAAAGTTGAATTTTAAGTCAACAGTTTAGGAAAGTCAACCTCCTATAGACTGTGGTTGTTAAGTGTTATAGAATCGGTTCCAATGCATAGTGACCTTGTATATAGTTTTCATGGAACAGCTGGTGGTTTTGAGCCACCAAATTTGTAGTTCGCCATTCAGTGCTTATTTGACAGTGCCACATCAAGAACCCTGCCAAAGACTATGGATTGTAGAACCTGCCCAAAGCTCCAACTGTGGTGATCCTGAGTTGTTCTGGAAGTGTAGTAGAGGTGATTAAAACCTCTACAACACAGAGACTGGAAGGCTTTATCAGAAGCAATTAGATCATCTGGCACAAAACTAGGTATTTATTTTCAAAGTGAGTAAAAAGAGACTTTGAACTGGAGGCCATCAAGAGAGATGAAACCAAATGGATATCTTTTTGAGCACCAATAGAAACAGAAGATTGCAAGTGTTCCCTGGAGAATATGAATGGTCCAAGAGGCCAAGAGGATTTTCTTAAGGATTCCCAATAAAATGCCTCAACAAGATCACTCTACAACCTACAAATCCCACATAGAGATTTCACTCAGTTTCTTCCTTTCTTTCTCAGTGCTTTATTGTGAATTGAGTGATAATTTACAGACAAGATCATCAGTTTCATATTCAACAAATCATACTCTCTTTCATCTCAGTGATTGCAATTCCCTCCATGTTAACAACAGTTATCCCACTTCCTCCCTGTGGTTCCTGTTTCCATTCCACCCTCCCTTCCCATCCCTTCTCAACTTTGTCCTTAGGTAAATGTAGCCACTTTGACTTTGAATGACTGACTATCCCATGGTGAGCATGCCTTGTTGTTGTTAAGTGCCGTCAAGTAGATTCTGACCCATAGCGACCCTGCATAGGGTTTCCAAGGTTGTAAATCTTTACG